TTAAACAATATGCAGTGAGATGCCTTAGACTTAATATTTGACTTATATTTGTCGTTTAGATTGAAGGATTAAAGCAATTCCCGTGCGAATATCGACGCAGTATTAAGCACTCGACAAATTCTACAGCTAGTACTACCAAAGGGAAAATCAAAACCCATGTTATATATGACTTATCACGCATATGAGAAGGCATTGTCGATCATTCGAGAGGTAGGGAAAAGGAAAGAATATTTTCATCCATGCAGAGAAGATAAAGTCGTGCTTTTGATGCTGGTGAATATGCCCGAACGATTGACTTTGCTATTCCCAGCAGATATTCTTATTATAAACACTGAAGAAACTGCATGCTTTAATACCAGTAAATATCTTAATACTGTATATATATAGACAATATACTGTAACCTAGATATGAATGTCTTAAAATAGTAGGCCCTAAGGCTTGTGTCCAATTGTCAATTACAAGTCCAGCCATTGACCAATATACAGTGATTCAATGTCTACTAACATGTGATTTGTTACTTTTGATCATTCTGTCACATCAAAATAGAATGTTACTGTATTCCAAGATTCCATGATATTTCATGCCCATGCATCCCCCAGTTTCCAAGACCAAGTCTTATAATATATTAGACAAAGGAGATTTCAAAGGAAATATCATACAGAGGAAATATCAAATTTTGATATTTCCTCTGTATAGTACAATATTGACCTAAGGGTATTAAACTTAGTTCTTATTCCTCTCCAGTGCCAGAAGATTTTACCTATGTGCAAAGGATTATATACCCAGAAATATTTTTTAATGTTTGTATTCTGCTAGTAATTATCAGTGAAATCAGAAGAGTTTGGACCACCCAGCTTATGTTGCTGGGGAGGGGCCGTCAGCCCTGTGGGTACCAAATTCATGACTTAATGATATTGCTAGAATTGCTGAATCATGCTTTAGAAAGCACACAAGAATTAAGGCAAACCTACTTCTTTACACGTTGATAAAGTTATTAAGAATGTCCAAGCTCCTCCATTAGCAAAAAGTTTGTGGAATGACATTATTGAGCAATCTAATAGCATTGCCGTATCAAAAGAATGCCAGTACGTCCTTGTGTTTTGAGAATATTGGTAAACTGTATGGCTGTTAAGTTTCAAATTTTGCCATTTGTTGTGCTCCAGCCCGATTTCTGGTTCTGAAAGGCCCGATTCTCAGTCAAAGAGTGCACGCCAAGCAGGCTGGTCATTTCATTGTTTAACTGCCCCACACTCAAAGGGCACTTTTTGCATCTTCTGAAAAATTGGGGAGCCTTGGCCCCCTGGTTCCTATGCCCCTGGTTGACAGCCAATTTCAGATGTGAATAGTGTACTTATTCACTACGTCAGTGTGCTCTGATTCTAGCCGTGGTTGTCTCTCAAACCATGAAAACTAAAGTTGAGCCTACCAATGTCTTGTCTATTTGAAGTGAAACAAAATTTTGTGTAATAGTGATTTACTGTATATATTAGTATAATTTTTTTACAAATTATTCAACTAAGGTAATATATTGTTCTAGTCTTATTGTTCACCTATTCATTTATAGTCTGTTTTAATAATTATTTTATAACATATGTACAAATTATTGCATATTACTCTTTTGAAGCAGTGCTGTCATTAAGTTTACAAGTAGGTGGCCGAAAAATGATTGAACATTGAAGGCACAAGACTCCTAGAGGGGTCTGGGTGCATGCCCCTAACCCTGAAATCTAAACAATTGGAAATGCCATTCTCTGCATTTGGGAAGGTATTTTACACATTCCCTGCATTTTGGAAGGTATTTTACAGAGTTCTTAAGATTACAAAACATCCTATCAAAGCCTGACCTGTTTGAAATCATTTAATCTTTTGTTTTATAATTTTGATGTTCTGACTAGAGGAAGTAAAAGGTTTGTTTATTGCTTCACAGTTTTGTTTATATGAACTTTGTTCAGACAGAAGTAGGCAAGCTACAGGCCCTTAATGACAGCTCTGGGTACAAAAACACCACAAAAGTTCTCACTAGATTACTTCTGTTTTATGTTACGGCAAGGCCTTTTCTAATCCACCATACCATTTACTCCTCTGACCAGTGTGACGACCAGCAATGTTACCTGGCTCCAGTTGTCGATGTAGAGAGGTATGCTTTTCTGGGGTAAATTAAAGGTAGGAATAGCACCAGCTACAAGCCTTTTGCAGGTGGGAACTAAAGCAGAACATAAAATATCTGATTATATATACAGTAAGTTGATTTAATTTATACAAGTATTGTTAAGATAGTAATTATAATAAAATTCACAGCAAACAAGATTTATAATAACTGTAAATGGGGCTTTCATATACTATGACATGGCCAAACAAAAATCCTGTTACTTTATTATGCCAGTTTCTTGCTATTAAAATAGCCTTTGAATATTGTATAATACTTTGTTTACTGTATACGAAAATGTTTCTACTGTCCTCAGTGACAGTGTCCTGAATAATATGCATATCTTCATTTTATGAACACAAGGATTAACTGTCATATAAATTACCTAATGACCGAAACGCACTTTTATGCAAATCATTAATATTTAATATATTTTTCCTGCTCTATGACCATATGGTTAATACAAATTTGATCATTTGATACATGAAATATATACAGTACTTCTGCTAAGTTGTAACTTTCAAGCGTTCATACCGAAATATCAATACCTCTACCAGAGAAAGAAAATAACTTACATGTTTCAGCTGGGTCTTTTCAAAGTGTCTTTCACAAACGTGAAGTGTTTGTTGAGCGATTTGATTTCTTAAACTTGCATCTATCTCTCGATCCAGCGTCCTTTGTGACAAGCCTCTCCAACGCTTCGCGAATTTTCGTCGATAAATCGTCGTCTTTTGTTGGATTTCAAAAAATACTGAGATCAAAGTGTTTTCTACTAGTCCCGCAACCATGTATGGAGCAATTTGCACCTGGTATTTGGATATTCTTTCTGTAAAAGACGTTTTTCAAGTACTACAGCCTCCTCTGTAATACAATCTCCTATTACAAATAGATTTTGATGCACCCGTATTGTCACGTGACAGAGAACAATAACATAATTTGGCCACGCCCCCAGCTTCCAAACCCTCTCCTCTATTAACTATGATTTAACCCATTGTTTTGGTTTTGTGTCTTCAGCGCGTCGTGTAATTTTCCAAACTTCAGGGGCTGGTTCAAAGCTGGATAAGCTCTAACCCTGGGTTAAAATTTAACCTGCTGTTTTGGTTTGTGTCTGCGTGTTTATTTCAAAACTTCAGAAAATAAAACTTCTATTGATCCAGACTGGAAAACTGTTTCCTTGTTTATAACTAAGGCGTTGGGAAGATTTTTTGAAGATTTTGTTAACCCAAAATTAACTGACTTTTGAATAACTGGCCCTAGGGCTTAAATGTCCACCAAGAAAAATCGAACATCTTGTATTCTCGGGTTTCATATGACGGCACGTGGGGGTCAAGGGTCTGTCTCAAGGGTAATGGACGGCTTTTATATTGTTGGCTTTTATATTGTTGGCTTTTATAGTAGTCGGCGAACACATTTTCACAAGACGCGTTGATTTTGTTTCTGTTGTTTTATGACCTCACTTCACTTGATCATTCACTTTCACAACATCACGTGAATGAATTACTGTACAATACTCTACAAAACTGCATGGGTTTTTGTAAATTAGTTCCAAATATGAAAATAATTGTTCCAGAGCTTTTTTCCATCATTTTGCCAACAGTATATCCATCTAGCTCCATACCATTCAGAAGTCAAACTCTTACAAATTTTCAAAATGTAGTATACAGGGTGTATAAAAAAAAACTGAACACATTTAAAATTGCTCTCAATTTCGCAAAACAGCTATTTGTATCCGTTTTTTTATATATATGGCCTCTTTGGGTACTTATAATGTAGAATAATGAGAAAAATTTCTCGAACTCAAATTTTGTGAACCAGGGGGTGTGTCTTTTCCAACAAACTAAAAATGGCTCGCGCACAAAATTTAAAAGCTGCAATCATATTTTGAGTTAACAGATGGAAAATTTGTCGGGATTTTAATTACTGTACAAAATTTCAGACAATTTGGTTTAGTTTAAGTCCCTTAACTATTCACGCAAAGTTACAATTTTCCCGAAAAATCAGCTATTTGCATGCTTAATTAATGCATTTGCCTAATTTGCATATGTCAGCAATATGCAAATTAGGTAAAGGCATTAATTAAGCATGCGAAAGGCTGACTTTTTAGAACAAAATGAATAGTTAAAGGGCTTAAACTAAACCAAATTGTCTGAAATTTTGTACAGTAATTAAAAACCCGACATATTTTCAATCTATTAACTCAAAATGTGATTACAGCTTTTAAATTTTGTGCGCGAGCCATTTTTAGTTTGTTGGGAAAGACACACCCCCCTGGTTCACAGAATTTGAGTTCGAGAAATTTTTTTCATTATTTTACATTATAAGTACCCAAAGAAGCTATATATATAAAAAAACAGATACAAATAGGTGTTTTGCGAAATTGAGAGCAATTTCAAATCTGTTCAGTTTTTTTTGATACACCCTGTATACATGTACTATGTAATATATACATGTACATAGTTTATGTACTATTTACAACATGAGCGGCCGTGTTGTATCGAATATACAAACTCGAGAGAGTTTGTATATCCGATACAATACAGACGCGAATGTTGTAAATGACTTAAAAAACGACTCATCTTATGAGTTTATTGGCGAAGTAATTTTAAAAATAAATGTTGTCTAAACCGAGAAAATCAAAGTTAAAGTTTATGTAAATCAACATGAATCTGTATCACATATGCAGATACGACACGCTTATGATTTTTCTTTGTGTTTTCCTCATTAATTATTAATGAGTTTTTTAAGGAATAATCCAGTTTTTTAGTCTCTTGCGGTCATCAAACTCGAAGAGTAATATGGCTCTTCCATGCATAATACAAATATATAAAATTTTATTCTTCTATTTCCCAACAGGTTTTCTCTGCTAACTTCGACAGTAATTCTACTGTTAAACAATATCTTGACCCACCAATATTTGCTCGTTACATTCGTCTTCATCCAAAGCAATGGTCCGGAAGTTGTGCACTGCGTGCTGAATTTCACGGTTGTTATGAAGGTATGTATTCCTGCCAACTCTATAAGTACTGGAACGATAACTCCAGATAAAAGTCCCTATGATTGGGTGAAACCAATATGGCAGCTAATAGGGTAAACTCTTATAGGTATGAAATGCGTGTGTAAATATAAACTCTTATAGATATGAAATGCAGTGCAAAAGTCTGTTACAACAGTGCAAAAATCTGTAACAACAAAGAAAAATCAGTAACAAACTGATCTGATTGGTGGAAAAACAATCAGAGATCTAAAATCAACCAATCAGCTTAAAGTAGTCGTCAAGTAACGGCCACAGCCATTGCTTCGAAACAAAACTAACATGGCGGTCGCGCTACATAGAAGAAGAGTTCGATAGAGAAATAGAAGTTGAACTCGGGTGGAAAATATGGCATTTATTTTTTTTTTAAATGGAAGAGACTGTACCTTAAACTAATAAAACTTAACATAGCTGTGTGAAGCTTTCAAACCGTTAGCGTTGTATAATGTGATATAACAAAGCAGGAAAACTTTGTCAGTGGACGGTTCGCTGTAAACTAAGCTTTCCGTATTTCGGACTTGTGCTGTTTTGATGCTTTTTTTATGCTATTTTGCATGTTTTATCCAAATTGCCCTTGAAACCATCGTATTAGCTATCATAGAGCGAGATCTAAGATATAAATTACTGTAACTTGCGCAGAATTTAAACCTTCACATACCTGCATTTAATTATTTCCTCTTTCAGATTGCATGCAGGATCCCCAATATCTTGGATTAGCGAGCTACAGTATTTCAGACATTCAACTCAATTCTTCTTCTGACGGAAGCGGTGCAGCATCTCAAGCCAGGTTGAATTTGACATCAGACAGTTGGGTGCCGGCGTCAGATGATTTGTATCCTTGGTTGGAAGTTGATTTCATGATGAGAACTAAAGTGCGAGAGATTTTGTCGCAAGGTCGCGACCATGAAGATAATTGGGTGACGAGCTACAGTGTTTCTTACTCCAGTGATGGGAAGACCTTTCAGGATTATACAGAATACAATAAAGTAAAGGTAAAACAGTTTTAAAATCGAAATTATCCGGACGCTGTCCTACTGAATCTGGTCTACTTCAAGCTAGTACAATCTGTAGACATGCATGTTTCGGCGTTCCACGTCTCATCTGTGCAGCTCGGTACACGTATAGCTACATACGTGATGACCACCGTATTTATACACCCTAGCTTGCTCTAACCAAGCGCATTTGGTAACAACACAGTGTCACCAACGTATCTATACATGCGCAGTGTATATATATACCTAAAGATAGACATCTCGCGAAAGCCCCAAAAATTAGTGCAGTAACTGCACTTCCGGTTTTGCACACCTGTTGTTTCGCAAGATTTGTAATGCCAAATTCACAAAAACGTGAATTATTGCAACTACCACGTTTCAAATAAAACAACTTGTCGTATTTCTGTATATCAAAACTTTTTCAAAACCTACGTTTTTTCAAAACCAGAAGTGCGGCAAGAACCTGAATTTTCGGATTTCGCGATTGGTCTATTTACGAAATTTTTTCAAAACTTCGCAAAGAATAATATCGAATCGAAAATGTTGGACAGTTCATGTGTATATTTACCAGCTGGACCACCTTAGTATTGAGCTGGTACACGCAGTAAATGATTGGACATTATTGACATGCGCTTCTTCATGAAAACCAGTACATTTATATAAAAAGTCATTATATGTCATATTGATTATATTTACATATGACACTATCAAGAAGAGAGTATGTAAATTAAGAAAATGTTCTTTGGTTATTTTAAATACATCTTACAATACGATACGTTACGATACGATACAATGCTGTCAATGCAGTAAACCTATATTTAAAATTCAGGGTAGCCATTTCAGAAGCAAAAGCTGCTGGCATCAATAGGTACCTCATGACGATGCATGCAACATAAGAACTTTGAGTTTTGTCTTTGTATGCATGTTTTTCTGAAGAATGTGTATTTGCAATTGCCGTCAAATTCAAGTTCAATTTTAATACTCTCTGTATACCGAATTTGCTTGACTACACACTAAACGATGGCTTGAAATCGAGCGGACAATCCATTGACTATAAGTAATTTTTATTGCAGATTTTATAAATTTCTATCCTATTTCTTTTTTGTTCAGGTGTTTTCAGGCAACTACGACAGAAGCTCTATCGTGCGACATGTTTTGACTCGTATCATATTTACCAACCGTATTCGTATCTATCCTAAAACCTGGACAACAAACGCTGGACTCAGGCTGGAATTTGCTGGTTGTAACTTCGGTAAGAGAACGTATCTGACTCTAATTCTGGCCCATAATAAATAAAAGAAATATTTTTTTCAAATTTGACATGCATTGATTTGATGTTCGCGCGGGAAGTTGTCAGGTCTGCCTTTAAGCCATGGCGAGGGAAAAAGACAATAAAAGATTTTCTATTTCTAGAATTGGTCAGATTGTCCCCTCTTTTCTCTTTCCAAACTTTTTCTTATGGGTGTTTGCATGAGTGTTACACTGGCTGGCGTCCCTGGCGAGACCCTTTGTGTAATTTGAAATACTTATTAAAATTCTCTTTCATTGATTATATGAGAGAAGCGCGGATCAGTGGTCTTGGGCGAGGTGCCTCGCTATTAGAGATGTTCAGATTTGACTTCCACTAGCGCTAATAGTATCGCGCGCGCGCATGGTTTAGTACCTATCTAATTGGTGAATCGGATATATCAACACATCTGATTGGTAATGGTTGCTTATCTGAACCTCTATATTGACTTCCCTAGATATCTCAAAATATAGCTGAAAATTTCCAATAATAATGCTTCAAAGATGATCAAAATTTTGCAAATATGACAAAAATAAAATGAGTTTTGAGATGTCCTTTAGTGCCGTTTACGGAGGCGGGCCAGCATTTAAACACGAGGTGAAATCAAGCGCTGTCTATTTATAGGATTACACCTTGTGTTGACCTTATTAAACACCCTCTTAGTGCTTGTTTAGAGGTGATTGAATATTCTGCATGAAAACATCAATTAACTCAGAACCAACTGTGTGATAAATTCAGTCACAAAAAAATGAAAAAAAAAATCTTGATCACCATAAATCCAGTTCAAAATTTCCGCCTGGAAGCGTTAGAGCTTATAATCAGTGGTCTGTAATGTATAGTGCTTCCTTTAATATTGATTCGCATTTATCTAGCGTTTTTTAAAGAACTGTTTTTCACTCACCATTTGCCATTCACCACAGTCATAGTTAAAATGCCTCCAACGCCATCATTTGATTGTCTCATTGGAAAGAACATGTAAAACTAGGGAGTAATTCCCCTTATTTCTTTTGATATGTAAATTATTTACCTCACCTTGCGTCACACATGCACAACACTTACCGCACAAAATTGAATATGTTAATTGTTTACTGATATCAGTGACAATTAAAACACTAAAAATTGTCTATTATTTTTGGTGTATAATAATGATAAGAAAGCTTCTGGCTGATAGGGATGCAACTATATACCTGACAAATACAAGGAGAACTTGCATTCTTCAGGTAATTACATCCCTTGCGCAGATAGTTCAAAATTATAATAATTATGGGTCGACGCTTTTCATTTGATAATGAGCAAGACAAAAAGCTTTCAATTGTAAGGACATTGTGCGCGTGTGATAAAATGTAGATAATTTGTGTATAAAAAAACTGAAATGTCTCGATCATAAACAAAGCAAGGAAAACTATATAAACGATTCACTCTATATAGTATAATATAATTATCTTCCCAATTAGACAACAAAAACTTTGAGTTAGGGGCACTATAATTAAACTTATTTTTCAGTAAATTTCGTAAAACAATATTGTACATGGCAACCTCTAATAGTGACTTGTGCATACTCCTTAAGACTGTTTACATTTTAGGTTGTATTTACCCTAATGCTTTGGGCATGGAAGCTGGACATATTGAGGATTCTCAAATTAGTGACTCGTCTTCGTGGAAATATGATCATGCAGCGTTTTACGGTAGACTGAAGTCTCATGGTAGCTGGATACCTGGTGTTTCAGAGGGTGATGATTTTGTAACTGTTGACTTTCTGCATACAACACTGCTGACTGGTATTGCCATTCAAGGTGGATTCTTGGTGGACAGTTTTGTGACTGACTTTAAAATTTCCCTCAAGAGTGGTGATAGTGGGTTTACTCCTTATCAAGAAAATGGCGCACAAAAGGTGAAAAGAAATTATTGTATAGTTCATATTATTTGTTCTAAGTGTCGGGATTTTGGACATCTCATTCGATATACATAACTAATAGTTTTTGAGGGGATTTGTAGATGGAAACTTAGAGTGGAATTTTTATACATTTGTAGTTTGTTATACCGAGTGAGATGCCCCAAATCCTGATATTTACCGATACACCGTACACTGGCACCAACTTAGTATTTATACATGAATTTGTGGGATGTGGGTAGAGCTCGACAACTGTCTCTCTGTAGCTTAGCTGGTTAGAGCGCTGCACCGGAATCGCAGGGCCGCATGTTCGATTCCCGCCACAGTGCTAAATTGTTCGAAGTCTGCATGTCAAGTTTCAATTCCCAAAACAAATTAACCTTTTGAGAGGCAGACTCGGTGCAAGTCTAAGTTCTTATATATTCGTACACAGACGAGGAGACTTAATTGCACGCTGTGCTAAAAAGTAACAAAATAAGGAAACGAACTTTACCAATAGAACGATCAGCTCAAAATTAGTTGGTTTCCATGACGTAATGCAACCATTTTGGCAGTGACATTTGGGAAATGTTCACCAAGTGAAAATGAATATAACTGGAACGCTACCTCCAACCGGAAATTTGAAGCCAAACTTGAAGGCTAGTCCCAGATATTTGGTGCTTATAATAATGCATATATAGCATCATCTTTGAAACCGGAGTCTATTTTATACCACTAAGAGCGTTTTTCGATTGACGTTTTCCATTCGCAGATTTTAGATTGATTTAGATTGATTTTTAGATTCATGCGCATCGTCTGCGTATGGGCAGTTCTACAATAATCAGATATTTCGTCAGAAATTTCGCGTTACACCCGCTTAAAATTTACAAAAAAGCTTTATAATGCATTTATTCAGGTAGAACTTTCTGGTTGTTTTTCTAATAATTGTTTACACGAGAGAGTCGCGAAGCATAAAAACGCGAGTTTTGACCCACACACACGTGTGTCTGGGGGGTCAGATTTGGCTTCAAGAAAAAGAAGGCAGTTTAACTGAAGGTAGCGTTCGTGTTATATTCATTTCACTGTGTTCACCTGAGTGGCTCAGGTAACGTTTACCAAAACGTTTATGTACTATTTAAAGCACGCGTAGGAGTGTTTTATCAGATATAAAACGCGAGGCGCAGCCGAGCGTTTTATATCTGATAAAACACGACTGCAAGTGCTTTAAATGGCTTAAAATACGGCTACAAAAGAATACTAATTAGGATGAACCATTATATAATCATACTAATTAGGATGAACAATTATATAATGCCTCATGCTTTATCAGATATAAAGTCACTCCACGTGACATATTATGGCTGACATGATTTGTCACAAGGTTTATGAATTATTAATGAGTATTTTAATTGTATATAAAATAAGCTTTTATCCTTTCATTTTTTAGGTATTTTTACGTCACGCTGAGGCCAACACAACTGTGAGCTATAGATTTCCATTAATACTTGTGGTAAATAGTATCCGTGTTACTCCGCTGTCCTGGAATGGCACGAAACCTGCAATGAGACTGGAATTTATGGGTTGTTATGAAGGTATTGAGTCAATATTTTCCTATTGTTACATTTGATTTCCTAATACTTTTGACTAAAGTTTTGGTCTAAACTTTGTTCTAATGTTAAGAAGTTTATATAAGTATACTATTTAATACATGAGCAGCAGTGTTTTATCAGATACACAAACACGAGCCGAATCCTGGCTTGTGAAACGTTTTGATGAGAACGTTCGTATTCTGCAAAAATTTAAAATAAATTAATGATATTTGGTGAGAAAATTGAACTTAAAGTTTATGTAAATCAGCATGATTTTGTATCAGATATACAAACTCCGTAACAGTCATGATTTCTTTTGTGCTTACTTCATGAATTATTAATGATTTCACAATAACATTTTCGAACCGGTTTATAAGCATATGATTGGTTTCTCTTAATCCAGGGACCAATCACAGGCTTTATTAATTTACAAATGTCTTTGTTTACCTGCATATTTACCTAGCCTGCCTACCAGAAATTGTATATAAATTTTTGTCTGATTCTAACGAACAAGATGCAAACAATTTTGAATATTGCCCATATATATACGTTGTCAAGAACATGCTCAGCAACTGGATCCTGAAGCTCAGTGGTCGAAGACGTACGAGCGCAGCACCTCATGTTCTTGCCAGAGGGCCTAAATTTCCATTTATCTCCACTGCTCCGAGTTAGTCTAAAATTGTATATAAATTTTAGTTAGAAATTTCCGCCTACAAAAATCCCATGTATTTTCAGTTATCTTTGGAATTGTAGCTGAATATGAAATTGATTACTTCCAATTCTTTCCTCATTTGGAAGATATTGAGGCATTCACCATATTATGATGATAGAAATTTCGAGCGATAATAACATACATTTCAGACCTGGAGCATTTCAAAATTGGAGCATCCATTTCAAGTATTATTTACCATAAATAATTAACACTTATTTACTGGGAGCGAGGGTTTCCCTTGCTTTCCCGAGGTCCCATGCAGTAAATAAGTATTTTATTATATATCAATAGTCAAAGAAACAACAAATTAAAGAACAAATGAACGTAAATACATGAAATATTTTATTGTTAAAACGTTAAATTAAACACTGCAGTTACTTAAATCGAAAGTTTAAATAGTTATAAAGTTATCAAATGTTTAAAAAGCTTTTAGGCATGTCCAAAGGTCGCATCTTCACGTGATGGCGCACGTGATTTTTTTTCGTTATTCCCCGGTCGATAACGTATGCATTATCTCCCTCCCGCGCTGTTGCAGCCTAATTTTGTCATTCTCACGTGATATGCTCTCGACCAATAAAACACTAGAAAAATGCGACTTTGACTATTGGTAGCCTATATAATAATATTATATAGGTACTTCAGGTATTTGCTTCATATGAAAATATTGCAGATACTGATGTTTGTGATTCGTCTCCCTGCCAAAATAATGGAACTTGTAATGACCACTTCACCACTTATAACTTCTTTAACTGCACATGCGCAGATGGATACACTGGTAGATTCTGTGAGACAGGTAGGACGCGAGGAAATTTCTTGTATTTTCTTTTTTGCAAAAGATCGTGTTTTTATACTGCACATCATATATATATATATACACTTTCACAATTTTTTTATTATTCATTTTATATTATTAAATATTATATTGTTCATTTTCTTGATCGAAAGTAATTAATTAGCCTTTCTCACGCTGTGCTCATCCGCTGTTTTGGGGAACTGCTTCTCCCAAGTCTGAGAGTACAAAACCAGGAAATGCGACTTTTTATAGGCCTAACTGTAATTCTGTGTGCATGATGGTAAATTAATGTGAAAACTTTGAAGTCACTTTCACATTGTTTAGATTGTCTAGATACTCTGACATGGGAAGACAGTACCCCAAAACTGGTGCGTGTGGGTTTGTGTGAGAAATGTATTATTCATAGTTGAGGCGAGACATACATAACTTTCCTGCCTCTATTAAGAGTAATAAATTGATATACACATTGTTTGGAGAGTTCGGGTGAAAAGGAGAGGGAAGGTTCACTACTAGTATATATTTCATGGCTCATGCGTTTTGCTAGCCTTATAATGATATATATTTAAGTTATGTCAATTGGTGATTTTAGAATGTCTGGATGCGAGACCTCTGGGAATGTCAGGAGGACAGATTAAAGATGATCAGATCACTGCATCTTCAACATACGATAGCCAGGCTGTTGCACCTGCAGGGAGAGTGAACGCCAGTGCAGTTCGAAGAAGTGGAGGTTGGGTGGCTGCAAAGAACGACGGCAAACAATGGTTTCAGGTACTATTACATAATAAACCTAATAACCACATTCAACATCATTGCCTAATAAAGAATGAAAATCGTTGAAGCGAACATGTAAATAACTCGGTGTCTGCGCGATTAATAACATGAAGGTGCATGGAGTGTTGCAAAATGTCGTGCTTTAACTTCGATTTAAAGACTTGATTAGCGCAACGATCTTTAGAAGAATCTAAAATTAGTTGGGGATATATATTTATCTCAGAAGTATTTTGTGAGTAATAAAGCTTGAGAACAACTTTTACTCGACATTATATACCAAGCTTACAAACCTACTAGACTATTAGCCTAACTAAACGTTTACATTAATTACACAACAACATATATATTTCACATGCATTCCGTTCCCAAATGACGTAATCTTAGCTACATGCCTACACTCCTGTTAATCTTTTAGTTATAGCAGTATCTTGAATATAGCTTTCATTTTCAGGTCGATTTCTTAGTTAACGCAACCGTTGCTTCAATATTGACTCAAGGTAGAGATAATTATAGTCATTGGGTTGAAACATATCAAATGTCATACAGCAATGATGGCATTAGTTTTCGGGATTACAATGAAGGAGGAATTACAAAGGTTAGTCCTAAGTTATCTGCTTTTGACATCATATTTTGTCTTTTCTGGTCTTGGCTTTGCCATGTCTGCCTTGCTTTGCTTTGCCCATGCGCTACAGGTATACCTTGCCTTGCTTACTTGCTTTCCTTTGTCCTGCATGCCTTAATTTATTGCCTTGCTTTCCACTACACACGTAAAAATCTCACACTGATCAACAAGATGCGTTCACAACAGGCTTGTGGCAAGCTTGTCAACAATTTGTAACAATATTGCTACTTTATAAACTAGATGGTGCAAGATTGGCAGTTGCAACCTCTTAACAAGTTGTTAAATTGCCAGGGCCGGTTGTTCGGAGGCCGGATAACGCCATCCACCAGATAGTGATTTTTTAACCGTTGTAAAATTGATTGAAAAGCTATAAAACAACAGATCTTGATATCACAATCAATAAAAAGAAACTTCAATTTTTAATACTAAAGTTTAATCTGCAGAGAATTGTAGAAAGTTTTGAAAATGTATACTATCCTGTGGATAACGCTATCCAGCTTTCGTACAACTGGCCCTAGGACAATATACCAGTTATTGAAACAACTGGTTACTATATATAGTCTGTTGATTTAACCATGCACCTTGTACCTTGTACCAACTTGTTAAAAATCCGTTAAAAACTTGTCAACGAGCTGAAAAGTTATAACAAGTTGTTGAAATATCGTTAGTACAAGTCTGTCGCAGACTTGTTCCAAATTGTGCGCTTTTGTACATGTAAATCTTGTGTACTTTTGTCCCGCCTTACCTTACCCTTTCCTATGCATTCCCATTCTTTTTCCCCTACTTTGCCTTGTTCTACCTATATACGTACCCTTCTCCTATTATCTATAAACCATAATATACAGTATAGTTGTTGATAAAAAGTCATTGTAACTTTTGTAGATATTTAATGGCAACTCAGACAGAGATACAGTGGTGTGGAACACCTTATACCCACGTGTTTTTACCCGGTTTGTTCGTATTCACCCGAAAATATGTCATGATAACTGCTCTCTGAGAGCTGAGTTCCTTGGATGTTATAAAGGTAAGTTCAAATTAACTTAAATTAACAAGTTTATTTTGGAACAAATGGTCAAAATATAAAAATTGGCAAATGACCTGTCATATAGTTTATAACCAAACAGTATAAATTCAATTTATTTCAATGACTACGGTAGACAGTTTATATACTCATTAATTGAGATTACGGCTTGACTCGTTGACGAAACTTGCCGTGGATGTTTGAGAGTTCGAGAATGCTGTTAAATTAATGACAATTTAAAGAATGTATACATAAATAACAAGTGTGCTTTCTGGAGTAAATGGGATTCCTCAGACGAAATAAATAAATAATTTAATTCAGTCTAGCTAGATGAACACACAAATTGACAAACTATCTATAAGTAAGTGTTAATGAAGTGGCTTGGAATAACTAATTGGTCGAACTCAACTGAGTAATCAGTAAATCGAATTGAATAAAGGCAGTAATTCTAAAATCTTTGTTGAGAAAAATATTGCAGTCTATATCATTATATTCGAAGGAGGTCATTTTCCTTTTACCGTCGAAAACTATGAGGGCTCCCGGATAATTAACACTTATTCTGCGAACTCGAGTCGTATATGAGCTGAAAGCCGACGAGGTGCGTAGTACCGAGTTGACTACATATACGACGAGAGTGAGTAGAATAACTGTTTTATTATATAGACAACTACTGCATTTACCGACTCTTCAGTATGGCAATATTTTGTCAATTATAGTTTCGCAATTCACACAACAGTTGTTGCTGGGAGTTTTTTCACTGTGTTTTTATTTGCCGTCAAGTCTATAAAAAGCAGATAACTTGCAGTTTTCTCGTTCGCAAAACTCCGGTAATTCTTGCGCCGCCATCTTGTTTTTTTTCTACTAGCAGGATATGAGCTAATTTCCTGCTTGTAGAGAGCCAATCGGATTGCAGAATAGCTTATATCCGGTGGCTGTCTATATAATAATGCCTTCTATTTTTCGACCATACGCGTTGCAGAAAAGTATATGCGTGGGAATGATTATTCAAAAACATGTCTGCAACCTGTTCAAAAATTTTTCCTCAGTTTGGAATTGTGCAAAAATTTTAAAAAAATTGTATGTTTAAAAAAAAATTGCATGGTTTTGTAAAACTGATTAGTCAGTGTGATACCGGGTATGTCTTATAATTGAAATCATAGTGGAAGACCCCCCATTTTTTTATGATCCGCAGCATTTTATTATCTGCAAAAGTTTAAAAGTCAATGCATGCTGTCATTAAATCGGATTTAAGTTTTATCATTTTAATTTCTAGTTATACCTTCACGGTGCTTGAATCCAATTGCCCTTGGAATGGAAAACAAGCAAATCAAAGACCATCAGATTACCGCATCTTCAGAACTTTATGACGCGAAATACCGCGACCGTTGCGCAGCTGCCAATGGCAGAGCGAACGCAACTATATTCTCACGCTATAGTACATGGATAGCACTATTGACAGACCACGAAATGTGGTTTGAAGTGGATTTCTTATATAATACAACTGTGAAAGAAATAATGACTCAAGGAAGGCAACATTACGATCAGTGGGTGAAATTCTACAAAGTCACATACAGAAACGAAACTGACGCGGAATTCCATACGTATGAAATGGGTGATGGCCTCAGGGACAAGGTAAATTATATTTTAATTAATTATTATTCAGCGTATAAGATTGTAGAATTGCAAGGGTTATGGTGGTTAGCAAACATATGGACATTTTCATAAGATTTTCCTAGATGTTCTACGCAATATATTTTAATAAACGAGAAGGCGACTTAGACTTATTTCAAACATTGCATTATATGTACATGCAAAATTCGATGTCTGAAACAATTAAATTCGACGTTTCTAATTGCGGTCGACAGTGTAGACAGATTTGGATCGAGGATGCGGAAGTCAAAGACGACGTGAAAATGGCGTCAAAATGGCGTGGCATACATATATACAGTATCCATGCATACATGGCCACAACACGCCATTTTCACGTCGTCTTTGACGTCCACGTCCTCGACCTAAATCTGTCTAATGCGAGCAAAGTGCGACGTGGTTTCAGACGTCACATTTTGCGCATTCATGGCTTTAAAGACTTTGCGTAATATTATACCTCAAATTTAAAGTGTCCAATCAGAAAGCTATGTTTGTGCCACGTGGCATGAAGTTTATCATCGAATCGCGTCTTACGTCATCGTATTTGACGTAAGCGGGTGACTTGAATCATATCACATATGGCGATTTGATCATGACACCTCGGTGACATGATTCGCGTAAATCACGCGCGGCGATCACGCAAACAAGATGGCTGACAAAATATGTGATGAATTATTAAATTTTTAAATTTTTTTTTCGAAAATTTTGAAGCAAATTTTGAAAATTATTATCATCAATGTTCCAAACGATATGTGATTTGAAAGAAAAGTGACAAATACTTGCGTTAATAAAAAAAATAAAGCATCGTATTTACGAAGACGGCATGTGGCAAGCTTTATATTCTCAACATGGAGACTTTTAATTTTCGTTTTTGAAGCAATTTAAAATATTCGCAGTGCGTGTTTTATCAGACCTAAAGATATTCGACTTCCCCTCGTATCTTTATATCTGGTAAAACACTGCTGCTCATATGTTTTAATTAGTACTTAAATCGATCATGAATTATTAATGAGTTTGAGAATTTATCTTTGTTCCGTTTCCTATGCGAAAATAAAAAAAGTTTGGTAAAAGCGTTCTGAGCGTTTCTTCTATTTCAATGAAGGTCAATGTTCATGATTGGCCGGAGGGCGAGCTTCAGGTTTGAGAAAAGCTAAAACCATGAGGCTGGCCGAAAGAATTCTCCAATACAGGCTTTGCCAAAACTGTTCGTGAACATATCTTGATTCTCTGCCTTTTCTAGGTTTTCAAAGGAAATTCCGATCGAAACACAATTGTCGGTCATGCATTGTCACCAGTAATTCGCCTTCTGGTTATTCGTATTCTTCCACTAAGCTGCAACGGACCTTGTGCTCTTAGAGCTGAATTTGTTGGCTGTTACGAAGGTATAGAAAACTTTCTGTTTGAATGCAAAACTTTAAAAATATTTTCAAAACTGACTGTCCTAAAGGGGGGCACACTAATTGCACTCCATGCAGTTTTCACTGATACGTGCATGAGAAAAGCAGATGGATATGAGTTAAACTACCTTAAAAATACAGGGAAAACTTGGACGTTTCCAGCGAAGGCCTTTCGTCGGGAAGTTAGTATTATAACATGGGTCGGGAAAATACATGTTCTTCTATACTAGCGAATATAAAAGTGATCACGTGACAAAAAATAAACCAATCAGATGGATCTGGTCAAAACAAAGTGTAAACAAAACTAAATCAGATTACAGAATATGTTACTAAGGATAACGGGAAAGAAACTACGGGATAATAAAATAAGGAATAAGGTGAGAATTAAAGTTAGGCAAGGACAGATGTAGTGAAATTTGCATATTGTTATTGTAAAAAAGTAAAATAACAATATGCAAATAAGGTAAATGCATGAATTAAGCATGCGTGAAAGGTATTGGTGCGAAAAAGACTGTATATGAAGGAAATGCAAATTTTCTGATACTTGGACCATCAATAAAAAACATAACAAATTGCTCGCCCATGAACTCAATATGCGTTTTTAAAACTTTTAAATTTAAAGTTTAAAAACTTTTAAATTGCGCGCACAATCCATTTTAATGCTGCTAAAAAACACGCACCCTTCCCTGTTCTAGAAAATTTATCTTTACGATTCGTCATCGCCCTATTTGCGTTCAGGTTGCTTGTATCCCCACCTTCTTGGCCGATGCCACCATCTCTCAAGTATATAGGATGCAGTCATGTACGTTGCCGACTTCAGAATACCCCTGATAAGAACATTAAACTGAAGTCTCCATGGGTCTTGGACAAGTCGCTAGTGGCCTTGCGAAAATTCTACTTGCTATAGACAATATACCATGAACACATTTTGTAGGCCGAAGAAGTGTTCTTCTTCAATATCATGGACGATTTCAGTAGTTTCCCTGCATGCCTGGCCTTCATTTTTCGGAGATTTCTTATATTGGGCAAGTTTTACACCAGTGTTATGTTCTGGAGGTTTTACTTTTAATCTCTTCAAACTGTATTAAATTCATACAATGGTCAATACACAACAACGTTTTTTCACAATAATTTAGTTGAAGGAGTTTGTTTTGGCTATCGTCGTCGCGTTGCCGTCGTATGTGCTTTAAGATTCTTTAGTATTCATAACCTGGCATTTTCCTTTATTTTAATATTGTCGTTATATTACTGTAGAATTCAACCAATTTCGGCGCCATTAACGTAACGACTATGAGGGCAAAAACACCGCCCAATTAAAACGCTGGGACGACAATTCTCCACATGTGATAAAAATTGTTTATTTTACTTATTTGCTGCGCGAATATACTTACTTAATAACACAATTTTTGAATTCCATTTGTAGATGGTGATGTATGTGAACCTTCCCCATGTCTGAATAATGCTACTTGCAATGATCATTTCGACTTCTTCAACTTTTTTAACTGCACATGCTTAGGAGGATACACAGGAGAATTGTGCGAGACAGGTAAATAAACATTTTTTTCAAGTGAAAATAAATTTTCAAATGCATCTAATACTTTTCTACGTAAATTGTATTATAATATCTCCCAACTCTTTCTGGAAAGCCTCAAAACTCGGAAAAACCAAACATTTTCGCGAGGTTTTTTGACAAATTTTGTTTTGGCCCTATTATATTTTAGCAGTTAAACGATTTTTGTTTATTGTAAGTACTTGAGTGAAAAGACTAACTGTCTCAGTATGCTCTAAAATGAAAAAGGAAAGAGAGAGAGAGAGGAAATTAAAGGAGTAAAATTTATCGATATATAAAGTGTATTTTTCAAAAAAAATTTTCAAAAACGGACTGGTACTACCTACAAAGCACGGTTTTAACCCCCCCCCCCCCGACTTATCATTCTAGTTTACTTATAGTTCAATGGACTTTACTAAATTACCTTTGCTTAAATAAATGGATGCATCATTGTCGATATATAAAGTGTATTTTTCAAAAAAAATTTTCAAAAACGGACTGGTACTACCTACAAAGCACGGTTTTAATCCCCCCCCGACTTATCATTCCAGTTTATTTATAGTTCAATGGACTTTACTAAATTACCTTTGCTTAAATAAATGGATGCATCATTGTTGTCTCTTTTTGAACAATAGACAGCTTAATTTAAGCAAAGCGCTTCATCGCGCCAATGACAACCTCCCGGAAGTAAAATCGACGTTATGGAACACGTTGCGTATGTCAATAACGTGCCAATTAGCACCAAAAATTGGCCCACGGGGACGAGTGTGTCACTAATGTTCTGACCACGTCTTGCACTGATTGAAGACTGACCTAAAGTCTTAGTCTATATCACACATGGTCGTATAATAGCTGCATCTAATTTTTAGGAAATATTATTTACACTGCCGTTTTCGGGCCAGTATTGCAACGCGTTCCACATTCGAGAATGATTTCGCATTTCGATACAACGCTGTTCGCTTTTGTTGGAATCATCCTGAGCCTATAATTTTCAAAAAAACTTTGAGAGAAGGGATCTAATTCTTACTGTGTAATACTTGCATTAACGTTCACAATATACTCATCGTCTACTGATTTTGAGTCGATTTCGGGTATTAGTTCATGCAATTGATCGATCATTATAGACATAGTTAATTAAAAATGTTAATGTTAATATTTCTCCTCTGTGATTTTCTTTTAGAAATTGATGAATGTCTCTCTTACCCTTGTCTGAACAATGGAACTTGTAACGATTTTGTTGATTTTTATAATTGCACCTGTACGATAAATTATCATGGAACAAATTGTCAATACGGTAAGAACATTATATTAATCCCCACAATATGTATGAATAGCTAGTCAGATATATAGTTCAACCTCCAAAGATGCATCAAGAGACTTACGCTCTGGTCATAGGACGATGAGAGTTGATGAGACGTTTAGTATTCATGAATTGTTACGGGGTACATTTCAAGCTCTGGATTTACAAAATAAAGGTTTGATGAGTGTTCCGGCAATGTTTTGACTTAAATATACAATACATGATAATATTCGGAAAGCATTAAGAACAGCTAACCAGCTTGCGTGAGTCATGTCAACTCTCATGCGCTCTCATCCTCGTTTTATCCAGACTTAAAGTCCCGTTTACACTTGCAATTTTTGCTGCGATTTCTAGTGCGATTTTCTTCTTCTGATCCATGTGAACGAGTAGATTAGTAACATTCATAACTCATCCACTCGTTCACATCCACCACAAGAGAAAAATCGCACCTAAAATCGCAGCAAAAATTTACAAGTGTAAACGGTCCTTTACACCAAAGAGGCAGAGCAGAGTGTCTGTTTTAGACAGGTGTCCGTTTCATCGATAATCGAGAGGTTCAGATTTGACTTCTTCCGCTACCTTTCACAGGCTTTATACACATTCGATTGGTTAATCGGGTAGAATAATGCATCAGATATTTCCATATTGAATTCCAAATTTTCAGAAGTGGTGAGAGGTGCATGCTCCCGACCCAACGACATAGAGTTTGTTTAGCTCGCCCATGCAACCAAACCAATCTTTCGTTGCCTATGCAAACTTAAGTGTTTTATCAACGTACTACTTTACGTTTATATACAATGAATAGTATTTTGAAAAAAACTCCTGCAATTTATGTGACTGCATGATTTTGTGATACATTCATATTTTCCCATGCACTAGGTCACTGGAGTGTCCGTATAACAACCAGGTTTAATGTCAGCTACTCTGGTTTTAGAAGTAAATGGATACAAAGCCCAGTCGAATTGCATTTACGACCTAACGTTGACTGCATGAGCTTTGCATTCTTATACTTTTAAAAAACCAAAGTAGCCGGTGCGAAATCATGACTAATATTTATCTTCTGGGGATGGTATTTAATGTTCGTTATAAGTATTAATAGGTAATTATTATTTTTTAATAGAAATAATATTAGAATTTTATCAGGCCATAAGAAACTGTCTGTTAGAGAGGCGTTTGGTCGACTGTTCAGTAATTAAAAAATATGAGCACTTGAGTATCTGTAAGCGTTTAATAATCCTACTTCGATTGAGGAACGTTTAACCCGACTAGAAAAATAACGTGGAGATAAGAATTTTCCTTACTATGACTGTTCTTATTTCTGTTTTATCTTTAACAGAGGTGATATGGCCGATAGCCAATTTTTCTGTGCCATTCATACCTGCTCAACTATTTGGTCAGAATATCTCCACTATTTGGGATATGGATCAAGGAAGTTATGTAACAGTAGAGGTGTATTATAACGAAATGCTGTGTTGTAGTCGCTTCTTAAATCGCCAATTAAACCACGTTGGAAGTCAATGCAACTGCTCGATATCAGATCCCGCCCTCTTCGATCCGGACGGGGTTGTCGATTTTCGTATTTATGCCTACAATAACGTGTCGAATGTCACAGTAACCTTAGAAGTTGAAGTTTTGAAGCTTATTGAAAATGTTGGTATTTCTGCACTTACCAGCTTTGCCAATTGGGGTATTGGTGTCGAAGGAACAGGGAGTCAAAAGAACGTCTTTCCCACGGAGTATCCTGTAAAATTGAGTGCTATCTTTGATGGCGGGCCAGCTAGTATTGTAAACTGGACATTTAGCTGTACTGTGAGTCCTTCAATACCTGACGAAAACGAACTATCTGTTGATAAGACCTTCCCAAGCGATATAGCTCAGTTATGTGATATTACATTGGTTTTAACGAACAATATTAGTACAGACAGTGCGTCTACCACTATTGATCTTAAAGAAAGTATTATTTTCACTAGTTTTACTTACGATGGTCCTTTAAAGCCAAACCAAACCATGACTTTCACTCTTTCGTTCGAGAAATTTGGCCAAGGGACTTGCGTTGTACTAGATATGGGAGACAATAGTTCTCTGCTTGTGTTTGGCGAAGCTTCATGCAAAACAAAGTTTGATGTTTCTCAAGTAAACCCAAACATCGTCGAAGAACCGCTTTCGACCTTCTACGAAAGAACTCCAGAAACTTCTGCCATCACGATAGAACATGAATTCCCAGGAGTTGGGGCGTATGCCGTCAAGATGAGTGCAGCAAATCTTCTTGCTAATGTGACAGAAAGCTTGGTTGCTGTGGTCATTCCTTTTGTGTGTAAATATCCGAATATAACAATAACAGGTAATACCATACACAAATTATCTAAAGTCTAAAACTCTCGACTCTCGAGCGCCCATTTTATTCTTTTGAAGCCGATCAACCAGCTAAAATACACATTTTTCCTTATATTAAGTTATTTTAAGTTAGGGAAACAATGGATTGTCTTAGTATTAGTCTCTAATGTTTTATTGAGTTCCAAAATCTCAACCCTTCTTTTCATTTTTCTTGCAATGGTCATGAAGTTGATAACTGTCTGTCTGTCTTACAAGTCACTCTTTTATTGTGTTTACATACCGTAAACCTACGAATATAAGCCCTGGGCTTATATTCGTTCGTAACCATTTTCATGGGCTTATACATGCATGGGGAGGTATATACGGGAGGGCGTATATACTGACGACATGTACCTGTAAACCATACCTGAACGATACGAAATATATGTACAGTGTATAACACATAAGAAAAACAAGTTGGTTAACATACTATTGTCACTGTAAATGTAATTACCATCACTCGTCTGAGGTGCTGGCATCCCCGTCACTGCGTTAATAAATACCTGTCCAATATGATGGGGCTTATAATTCGGGGTGGGGCTTATATTCGGAATAGCCTGAGCATTAGTGAATATAGTGGGCTTATACATGGGGGGTGCTTATATTGGGGGGGGGGGGATTTTCGGAGGTTTACAATATTAGAGAGCTTCAGATATTACTAGAACTACCTCTCACTGACCCAGTTACGCATCTGATTCATTAAGTGGTAGCGGTTCTCTTTCGTCAAGTCATGTAAACCCTTTGAACGAAGTTGCTTTTCTAGATCGCTCAAGGAAATATAATAAAATTTAAATCTCGTAATATTGTATTTCTCAACAGGTCTAGCTCCTAATGACTCAAACCTTTTAGCCGCGGCTCAAGTATACCGTTCTGTGCCCATTTTTGTGGCGACTGAAAACGAAATCTACTGCGAAGTAACAAACTATGTGAACGTATCTTGGACCGTTTATAAAATTGAAGATGATCCGAACATTTTAACCACAACACCACGGATGAAGATTTCCGATTTAGGGAAAAGTGTGTTCCACACTGGCATTATTTCACCGGACCTTTTTCTTCCTGAAAGAGATTTACCGTTCGGGTACTACGAGATAAGTGCTCGCGTTGAGATGTGGGGTTTGCATAATATTTTTGGAATTGGTACACTGTATATCCAAGTTGTCCAGACGCCATGGATTTCTGCTGCTGCAACTAGTGGGTCGTTTTATACTGTACCTTTTAAAGAGCCGGTAAGATGCTAGATAGATGATTGATTCATCGATAATTATCCATTCGTTCAATTGTTTATGAATTTATCGGTTCATTGACTCGTGTGGGTAATAGTATGGTTTCGCGTGCAATTTGGAAAGAAAAAACATGCATTAGTGGGACTTTCAAAGACGATCAAAATTGCATTAGTCCGAAGGACGAGTGCAATTTGATGTCTTTCACAACAATTTTTTTCCAAATTCTATGAGTAACCATGCCCATGCTTATTACTGCAAGAAATATACATGCATGCATGCAGCAATTCCTCGCATTTTCAAACCGAACAACTATTTAATAGTTTCCAACCATTGTTTCAACATAATCCATTTTGAGCCGACAAACTTATTTTTCCACAAAATGAGAAACGCAACAGAAAAATTTTCTTGTTTTCACTATAGAATTTTCATTCCCTGAAATATATAATGCTGAGTTGTTCTTAGACATTCAACAAACTTTAAATAATTTTCAATCTTATATAGACGTTTGCTAAAACATTTTAATTAACGTGTTTTTCAATTGACGTATTCAATTTGGCGATCAAGTTGTTACTAAAGTCACACTGAAACAGTGTCTTTTTTAAGGAGGGGGGGGTCAAAAGAGAAAAAAGGCAGAACGAAAAATATGAGCCTTTGAGGTTTGGCGAACGCGCGACTGGCGCGAGTCTGAAGAGGGATTTTGTAAAACTTTAATTTGTTAACTTCAGCTATATTTTACTTTAAACAATAACTTCAACTCCTTGTAGCTATAA